TCCACGAGTTAACGAAGAATAGTTATAGCACTTAAGAGTAGGCTATCTTAGACTAAGCGCTTTACGAGTATTAGTTCGTAACGCTAGGAATATATTAATTAAAGGAACTAAGCGAATAGACTATAAGATATACTCCTAAACCTAGGTATATTAAGTCGTGTCTTAATATACGTTAAAACACCGCTCCCTATAACCGTTTTAGCGTATTTATTAGGATCTTTAAGAGCTACCGAAGAGCTATAACGGTATACAATATCTTCTTATAATAAAGGAGGAATATAGCGGCTAGATCTACGTGCTGCCTTTAGCTTCGAAAAATAGCATTACGGTCTATAATACGTTATAGGCCTTTAAACGATAGGTTAACCGGCAGTTTATATTATATATCTATAAGATATGTAGTAATAATAAGCCCTTAATTATTAATCTAGTAGGGAATTTAATAACCTAGCTATAGGCGAGTAGTTAAGGGATTAATATAGAAATTATACCGCCTTATACCTATAAACCGAATAGAGGCAGCGAAAAAGCCGGTTAACTAATTATTATAAAGTCTAATACTATACTTAACGGAGTAGAAATACCCCTAGATAAATAGCTAGAGAGCCCTAAAATAGTAGCGTTATTATATAATATAAGTCCCTTATAATAATATAGATAGAAATCCCTAATAGAAATCCTTAACTTATACTTTAGAGATAATACGCCGATTCTAGTAAAAGAGTATATAGCGGACATACGCCCTAATTAGAATAGTATTTTTACCTACGGCTACCGCGCCTAACTAATACCGAGGGATATGGAGGCTAGGAGGAATAGGAAACTATATAAGGTTTAACTAAGGGGATATATTAGGTATCTTATAGGTTACGTTACCTATAATATTTACCGAGTATAGATTCTATAGCTTTAGAAGGTTATTATAACGCGTAATATATAGTTTAATAAGCAGCTATTGTATAAACTATAGCTCGAAAAAGCAGAATAGATCCCGGAGCCCGAGGCGAGGAACTAGCTTATAACTTATAAATTATAAGAAGATAAAGATAACGACTTTATCCTATAGGCCTACCCTCCGGGTAGATTAATTAATAGCATACCTTATAGAGAATAAGTAGAGTCCACGGGTTTAAACTTAGGGGTAAAAGTAGTAAAGGCTAAATTAGACACTTCGTCGTTACTACTAGATATATCTAGTATACCCGAACCGCCCGTAATAGGACTTTAAACCCCACGCATAATACTTAATCCTTAGAGTAGGAATCTTTAGGTTATAAGCGTAAAGCCGTAGTCTTCGGAGGAACTTTTAATTAATAATTCTTCCGATTAATAAGATAACGGAGCGGCTATATAAGAAGACACTATAATAGATATATTAGGATTATATATACTAGAGCTTAATACAGATACTTCGACGATTTTAACTATAGAAAGGAGTACGTAAGCGACGGTATAAGGACTAGCTACCCTTAATCCGAACCACGGTATTAGCCGTACTATAGCGTCCGGATCCAGATTACCTATCCGACTAACTCCTACGGTAACCGTCTATTAAAGGAAAACGTGTATACTAGTAAAGGAAATAACGCGCGCTAGGGTAAGAATTACCGATCGCCGTGCTTAAGGAAAGACTATTCGGATTAATCCCCGGATATATTAGGTACAGCTAGATATACCTTCGACTTATATGTTTTCTTATCTAATTAATAAGAAAAGCGCTAGGATAGGCTAAAAAGACTTCTAACCTTTAATTTAATAATCCTCGGAGCAGCCGATACTAAAATAAATACCTATTCGAATACTAAAAAAAAGGCTATAATATTACTAAAGCCCTTAATCGTTAGCAGGGTTTATCGTAACCACCTAAAGGCTATACTAAGGTATTAGCGGGAGCTTACTAACCACCCGATATATAAATAGTTTAAGGAAGCCGCGTAGAAGGAGGTGAATAAGCTAGTTAAGAAGCGTACATAGAGGGAAATTAAGTGCTTAGAGGCGAAGTTAAAGCCTTTTCTATTAAAGTGGGTTTTTACCTATAAATTCGACTAAGACGGATATCTTAAATAATATAAGGCACGATTATATATTCGAGGGGATTTATAGGAGAGCTTAATAATTATGGGAACCTATATAGTAATGCTCGCTACACGATCTTTTCGTATTATTATAGCCCTAGCTACTTAGTTCGATCTAAAGATTAAGTAACTTAATTTTATTAACGCTTTTATTAACGCCTAAAGGAGTAAAATAGGAACGCCCGTTATATATAAGCTTTCTAATAGATTTAAGTAGTCCGATAAGTGCTTAGAGCTTAATAAAGTACTATATAGACTACGTGACTCGCCTAGACTATAGTTCTAGACCTTCGCAGTTACCCTAATAGACTTAGAGATAAAGGCTAGTAAGGAAGAACCGTGCTTATTCTATACTAAGGCTCGAGACGTATTTATTATCTTCTTTATAGACGATATTCTTATATTATTTTATAGAGATAATACTATAAACGGCCTTAGAATTATTAAAAGAATTAAAATAAGGTTCGAGGTATCGGAAAAAGGGGAAGCCGATTAGTTTTTAGGTATTAAGATTACTTAAGATCGCCCTTAACGTAAGGTTTTCCTCTCCTACGACTTATATATTGAAAAGATCGTAGCTAGGTTTAATTTAGACGCTCTAAATACTTACCTAGTAATCGCTATACCCGTTATAGAATACCGGAATAGAGAAGATAAGCCTACCACTTAAGAGATTAAATCTTATTAAGAAAAGGTCGGATTAATACTTTATACAGTAGTTATAATACGTCCTAATATAGTATTCGCCGCCTTTATCCTCTCCCGCTTCCTTAGAAACCCTTTTCCCGAGTACTATAAAGCGGTAGACTAAGCTATCCGCTATTTATTTATAATAAGGGACCTCTTAATTTAGTACGGATCAAGTATTAGTTTATAGACGATAATTATTATAAACGACTCCTATTTTATAGACGATTCAGATATATAAAGATCTTTATAGGGCTACCTTATTAGCCTATTTAGTGGATTAGTTATATAGATAATAATAAGGTAAATAACGGTAATAACGTCTATAACCAAAGTAGAGCTACTCGCTTTAGAGTAAGTGGCGAAAGAAATAATAGGATTAAAGCGTCTTTTCATCGAAATACACTTTAATCCAGAATCTCCTTAGGATATCTACTACGATAACACGTAAACGATACGCCTAGTGGTTAACGATAGCTTTAGGATTAAGACTAGGCTTCGCTATATAGATATATAACGCTTTTAGGTAAGGTAGGAGAATATAAAGGGATTATTCAGAGTCGTATATCTTATTACGAATTTAATACTAGCGGACGGATTAATAAAAGCACTTCTATAATAAAAGTTCGAGAACTTCCGAGTATATCTTAATATAATTAGTGTATAGAGGGGGTGGAAAGAAGTAATTAAAGTCGATAATCCCGTGCCTTAGGCGTACCGCGCGCCGGCAGTTTAGTTAATTTAGTAAAAAGTAGGGTATAGTTATTCTAATACTAAAACACTATACTAAAACCCGAAAATAATTCCTAAAATATAAAAAGGAGTATACTAGCTAAGTTACTAAGCTCTATTAATACTATTCTAAGCACTATTCTACGCGACATCTACGCTATTTCCTTTAGCAGGACGAGTAATAATAAAACTATTCTCCCGTCAAATATCTATTATAACCCCTATAAGCTAGAAGGTAAAGGTAGTAGTCGGCGTACTAGGACCCTGGTTAGAAGCTCCCTTAAGCTCCGCCTCCTTAAAGAACTTCTTATTTTCTTCGTCCTTTATTAGTTTAATTATAAACTTCACCGTTTACTTAAGTTTAGTAAAGAACTACGCGAAATAGTTAGTCAGAGTATTTAAATTTTAAAATAAAGCGATAAACGCACTTTCTTATTATTATCGCTCGAGTCCTTATTAATTTTATAGACTATAATATAGTTAAAAAGAATTTTAACTAAGGAGATAAGGCCGGAAAAACTATAAGTATACGTTAGCGGTCGTAAAGCTTAATAGCGTATATATCTTTAAGCTAATACGAAATAGAGTATATAATTATAATCGTAAAACGCCTTAGATCAACGGTAAGAACTTATAAAGGGTGGTATATATAGTTTTTATCGTTATACTTTTAGCACCTATTAGAGCGCCCAGGGACAGAAATATAGTAATTAAATAAACGCTATTTACTAGAATAAATACCCTTTACGTATTCTAGGCAGGGGGGGTTAAAAGGGACCGGAATAAAGGCTTCTTCGGCATCCTTACTACTATTAGTATTACTACCCTTAGCAGTCTATTAAAGGGTTAGCCGGAACCAGAGCAGACGGATTAAAAATAAACGCGCTAAAACCACTTATAGTAGCACCCTTCTTACTAAAAGCCTTACCCTTATTCTTTTTAACGCCGCTGGATAAGGCCTTTTTCGTAGTTACGGCCCGAGTAACCGCCGAGAGAGTAGGAGGAGCCTAAACGATATTACCAGTTAGCACACGCCATAAAGAATAATTCTCCAAGACTTATTATAGCGTAGTTATGATTAATTTTATTACTATAAATAGGAAAAATAGGGGAAAATTAGTTTAAAATCGTTAAATTCCTTAAAAAATAACGTAATAAGAGGTTATAAGAGGGAGGATCTAAAAGCTCTAAAACACCGGTATAACGCCTTTAATTTATCTATAAAAGGCCCTATAATCACTTATTTACTATCACTATTAATAGCACTTTTCCTTTATTATTTACTACTATTATTATTATTCTTTACTATTTTATAGCTTTTATTCCTGCCTTTTAACTCGATATTAAGGGTATTAGACGACCCTTTAAGGCTATTTTAAGGTTAAGAATAAGGCTAAGTTAAGGTCAGACTAAGTAATCATTCCGCTAATTATAGCGTAATAATTAGGGGGTATATTATATTCTATCACGTGAGCCACAGTATAGTGACCTCTTATTAGTTAGAGGTGCCCTATTATCCTCGCTTAGAAGGTGGCAGATATATTTAGGACACGTATACCCGCCCCCTTTTTCTTTCTCTTTTAGTACATAATATAATTATACATTTCTTGAATTAACGCTCCATACAAGCACGCTCCCGTCAATTCAACAACCGACGTACTCCACACGTCTCACACAACTTGGTTTGTCATACCTCGATAAGGTGGCTAGGGGTATCTAATAATATATCTTCGTGGGATTATAGTAGCACGCACCAGTCTCAATCAATATACGATTTAACCCTTCAATTTCGACCCTATTTTGGACCGCTACGGTTACGCTGTTTCTGACAGAGCATTACAATTTAGTTGGTATGGGTGTTATATTCGGACACCTTGCCTGAGCTCGAATTAGAGAGCTGGGATATGCGTCTGCCAAATTTCCCAACTATATACTTTTTGCTTTTCCAGTTCCCGGTGACGCCGGTCGTCGAACTTGTTCGCGTTAGGCGCTCACGTACGGCCTTACAGAGTCACAGCCTTGCGGAAATTGGCGCCAGCATAGATGGCCTGATCGCCGAGCTCCTCCTCGATGCGGAGGATCTGGTTCATCTTGGCCGTACGCTCTGACCGAGCCGGTGCACCGGTCTTGATCTGACCGGATCGAATGCCAACGGAAATGTCTGCGATGGTCACATCCTCGGTCTCACCCGAGCGGTGCGACACCATGACGCCCCAGCCGTCAGCATAGGAGTCCTTGGCCGCCTGAATCGATTCAGTAAGGGTGCCGATCTGATTGACCTTCAGAAGCAGGGCATTGGAGGCCTTGAGCTCGATGGCCTTCTTGATCCGCAAAGGGTTCGTCACAGTCAGGTCATCGGCAACGATTTGAATATCCTGGGTCTTGTAGAAGTAGCTCCAGGCCTCCCAATCGTCCTCGGCGAAAGGATCCTCAATGCTGACAATAGGGTACTTCTTGCACAAATCGGAGTAGAGAGCCGCCAGCTCCTCGTATGTAATCCACTTGCTAGGGTCGCTGTCAGGGTTCTTGAAGTCGAGGTCGTACTTCTTGGCGTCCTCCTTGTAGAACTCGCTTGAGGCTACGTCCATGGCGATCTTGATCTTACCCGTGTAGCCGGCTGCCTCGATAGCCTCCGTGATCAGATCAAGAGCCTCGCCCGGCGTCTGGATATCCGGGGCGACACCGCCCTCGTCACCTACGTTGCCCGCGGATTGACCGTACTTCTTCTTGGCTAAGCCCTTCAGGGTCTGGTAGACCTCCGCACCTTGGCGCATGGCCTCAGAAAATGAGGAAGCCTCACTGGTCGTCAAGTATGAGTATATGCATGATAAGCGTTGCTAAGGAGAACCTATACGTACCTCGGGACGATCATGAACTCCTGGAAGGCAAGTCGGCCACCGGCATGCGACCTGAATACAGCGTCAGCCAGAGTCAGATTTAGTGAGCGGCTTCAGCAGAAATTGTAGCCAACGGCAAGTCAAGTGAACATGGGTAGGGCTTACCCGCCGTTCAAGACATTCATGAAGGGAACGGGAAGGACATAAGGCTTCTTGGTGCCCGCGAGGTCCGAAACGTGAGCGTACAGAGAGACGCCCTAATACATCGCATGTTAATTTCGTTTCTGGCCTTCCTTGTAAAACGGGGAGAGCTACTCTGCTCAGGCGGAGTGGAGGATGGGAAAACATGTTGAGCTGACCTTCTCGGCAGAGCCAGCCTTGGCGACGGCCAGACTGACGCCAAGGATAGCATTGGCACCAAGGTTGGTCTTGTTGGGGGTACCATCAAGTTTGATGAGGAATTCATCGACCTTGCTCTGATCCTTCACATCGATGTTCTCCTCAACGAGGGCAGGGCCAATGATGTTGTTTACATTCTCAACGGCTTTGAGGACACCCTTGCCATTCCACTTGGCCTTGTCGCCATCGCGGAGCTCGCAAGCCTCATGTTGGCCTGTCCGAAAAGGTTCGCGTTAGCACATCGTATTCCTCGCCTTATGGGCGTGCAATTGGATTGACTGAGACATCAAACATACCGGTGGAAGCACCGGAAGGCACGATCGCCCTGTGCAGACCGGTCTCCGTGACAACATCGACTTCGACTGTGGGGTTGCCACGAGAGTCGTAGACGTAGCGAGCGTGAATCTTTTGGATGGCCATAGTTGTCGGTTGATCACGTTTATGTAACTGCTGATATAACAACGCTGGGGTGTTAAAGCTTAGTTAGGACGTAAAGAAAATAAGACTTGGTGATGGGAGGGGAAGGAATAAAGAGACGAAAGAGGGGTGGGGACCGGCGTTAAAAAGGAGAAGGGACTGGAAAGAAGCAGTTGCGTCACAAATCGCTCGTATGGTATTGTATATCCCGCAGACGGTTGGCGCGTAGGTGGCTTGGGGGAAGGAATGGTGGGAGGAGCATTGTTATGCGGAGGAGCCTGAAAAAGAAAAGAATCACGGTCTTACCAGCTTTGTTTCTCGATTCGTCCGCTTCTTCCAGATATATTGTAAATGCAATTGGATGGCTTGTCCAAGATGAAGGTTCAGGTAAATCGAACGTCGACGAGCGACAATTTAACCTTCTCTAGGGAGGGGTACAAGGATGCATAGAGGGGTATCTCGGCGGTGATGGGGTTGATCCTGTGCACAGACCATCTATGCGACCTTGGTATTGCGTAATGTGCGCGAACTATTGTCAGATACAGCGTAACTGGTGTCGCACAGACCTCCCTCGGGGTAGAACAACCTGTCAGATAAAGCGTAGTCAAAAGCGTCACAAAATAGGTCAAAATTAATTGAGGCAATTATGTATAATTATAACTATATATGGACCGTTAGAGAATTCCTGCTACCGTAATATTAGTGGTGAAGATTCTGTAGGTGTTTACCCGGATTATTATATAACTGAAAAGACTATAGTCTATTCGATATACTCCCTAATCGCCCTACATGTTAGTTAGGCGATTAAAGCTATTCGTAACCGGTAGATATAATAGCTAAGTAATCTCTTTACTATATCCGCCCTTAAATTTATTCTCTAAGTCCTCTAAATACTTTATCTAGACTTCCTTTAGCTATCTTTACTTGTTACGTGCCCCTGCCTAGGAGATAGAGGCCGTGTACACGATAGGACCACGACGGGTGCCCGTGCGGATAAGGCCGGGCTCCCGTCTTAACGTGGCCACAGCTGCCCTAGACCGATACTACTATATAGAGCTATAGCCTAGGCTTAGGCGTAGATATCCGTTTACGATATCCGTTTAACTATACTCGTATTAGCCTAAGAGTATATAATACTTATATAGTGCCCCCTCCTTAGTATAGAGAGGGTAGTAATTATTCTGATTCTTTAGGACTACCTATATTCGGATTAGCCGTAACTATTACTTAATCCACGTCTATTCCCTTTCGGACCCTCTCGCTATCACCTTCTTACTCCTTATAACTACTTATCTAATATAATAATCGCTTTATCTTTCCGTTAAGGAGTACCGATAGGAAAACGATATCTTCCTATAAGAATAATAAGACCTATAACGTGGTTAGCCCCTCTAACCTTTTACCGAATATTAATAATCCCTTTAGCCTAGGCGCCTCTATAATATAGGTATAATATAACTAAGCTATACTCTAGATAAAGATAGACCTTAAAATCCCTACCCCCTATCCCCTTAACGCATAGCACCCCCTATTACCCCTACCCCGTCCCGCCTACCCTATCCTTAGAAGAGTATCCCCTATAACTAGCTAACCGATATATAGGTTAAGGAATGGATTAAGTGGTTCGAGGTATTAGAGGCGCGGAAGCGTAAACTCGACCGACTTATCGCCCTTAAAGCTACTAGGACTAGTTCCCTGATATATCCTAACCTTAATGGCCGTGCTATTATACGATAACGTATTACGGAGCCCTGTCGCTCTGTTCTAGATACCTAGTCCTTGGTCCCCTCTTCTTCTATTATTTAGGGCCACGTTAATACTGATCCCGCCCGGACCCTTATTAGATCCAGGGCTAATTTCTTATAGGCGAAGGTTAACTCTATAGTACCTAAGTAGAATAGCGAGTTATAGGTAAAATACTAGATATTTATCTAGGAGGTAAAGTAATAGTTTATAATTACCCCTAATAGCCTTCCTAATAATACCTCGAAAAACTATTATAGTATAGCCTCCCTACCGAATTACCTTAAGGAAAGATAATAATCTTACCTCCGGCACGCCTATAATAATAACTTATCCCGGGTTACCGAAAGGGCCCTAAAGACCTAGTTAGGCGAATAAATCGACGATTACGATATATATCTACTTAAGGTCGCCCTATAGATATAAACTAATAACTATTCGGACTAAAAGCCCGGTAAACCCTTTACGAAGTTTATTTAGCAGTAGGAAACCCTAGAAACAGAACTCCCTAATCGCTTACTAAACTAATAGCGGATCTAGATAGTCCTTATTAAAGTCCTACCCTTAATCCGGGATTATATCTTGTCTATATATAGAACCCCGAAAACCTACCTAGTATATAATAAGGAATATAAAAGGGCCGAGTAACTAAAAATCAAGCCCCTAGTAAAGGGATAATACCCGTTTACCCCCTATACTAACCGTGGCGAAGTACCCTTCCCTAGAATACCGGCGACTTCGAACCCGCTTAGAACCACTAAGAATATAGGAGAACTATAGGATTAGGCTAGGCCTTATTATACCCTAATTAAACTTATTATATACTTTAACTATAACTAAAAGGGTTATTACGCTAATACTTACCTCTCCCCTACTTATACTAATCTAAATAAACTACCTATTTCGCCGATATATCGGATAATAGGTCGCGTTATTAGCGAGATAGCCGAGGAACTAACCCCGCCTTAAGCGGCGACTACTACTACTATACCGGTAGAGGCGCTTACGCCGGTAAAGGCGAGTATCTCCCTCCGCTAAGGCAGGGAATAGGTATAAACCCCGGCTCTTCTAAATAGGGGAGCCGATATTAACGTTTTAGACTAATCCCTTCTAGGTCCTAACTAGGTCCCTTTTAGACCCCCCCTCCTTATATCCTGGATCACGGAGGGATAAGAGAAATCCACCCTCGGCTCCGTTACTTAACTTATCTTCGCGACCGACTAATAGAAATAAAGAAAAGTATAACGCGTCGAATTTTATATTATAAACCTAGACCCTAAGGGCTCCCGAATTATCCTAGGATAACTCTAGCTAGTAGCCGTTAACCTTATAATCGATTAATAAACTAGCACCTAGAATTACCCTCTAAAACGCTCTAACCTCTATAGTATCTTAAGCCGATAAGAATTACAGAAAGCTATAAAGGAGGCCACGACGGTTTTAACCCTATCCTTCTCTATACTAGTCTGATATATAGCCAGGGTAGGCCTCGATATTAACCCCTATCCTCCTAACCTGGTAGCCCCCCTTAACCCGGTAGCCCCCCCTAATCCGGTAACTCCTCTTAATCTAGCAGCCCCCCCTAAGCCGGCTATTCTCCCTAAACTATACTAAGATTTCGCCAACGTATTCGATATTAACGATACCGGACGGCTCCCCGCGTATTAATAATAGGACCACGTAATTAAAATCGAGGAAAGGAAAAAGCCCCTTTTCGGCCCTATCTACCTACTAGCCATATAAGAGCTCGAGGTCCTCCGCTAGTATATCTAAGACGTTATCCGTAAGGGTTAGATCCGACTATCGTCTAGTCCCTATAAGGCCCTTATCCTATTTATCCCTAAAAAAGGTAGTAAGTTACGCCTTTACGTAGACGGATTGAAATAAGGTGACTATTAAAGACTATACCCCACTACCACTAATTTATAAGATCCTGGATTATCTATCCTCGGCATAGTACTATACTCAGCTAAACCTTAAGGATACCTATTACTGGCTCTGGATTAGCGTGGTCGATAAATAGAAAACGGCCTTCCATACGAAATATAGCCACTTCGAATACCTTATAATACCCTTTAGCCTAATTAATACCCCCTCGAGTTTCTAATAATATATTAACTAAGCCCTCGCGGGATATATTAATACGATATATATTATATACCTAAACGATATCCTTATCCATAGTAATAGCTTAGAAGACTACCGAAAGTATATATATTAGGTCCTGGCTAGGCTCCGGGAGTAGTCCCTTTACGCTAACCCCAATAAATACAAAGTTAGGACTTATAACGTAGAATTTCTTAGTTTTATCTATAGCCTTAACGGAGTACGTATAGACCCCGTATAAGTTAAGGCTATCCGGGATTAAGAGGCGCCTAATAGTATTAAGAAGATCTAAATCTTCGTCTGTTTTACTGAGTTTCATAGGCACTTTAGTAAAAATTATTCTAAGGTGGCTACCCCCCTAACTAACCTTTTAAAGGGTGCCTAATCCGGGCTCCTACGCCTTTCCCCTTATACCTATACCGTATTTAAATAGTTAAAACTAGTATTCTAGAAGGCTCCGGTACTATAATACTTCGACCCTATATTATCTATATGTGTTAAACCCGATACCTCTATATTCGCTATTAGCGCGGTAATAAGCTAGTAAGAAGATATTTTTTAAAGACCCGTTATATTTATATCCTAAAAGTCATATAGCGTAGAGCTAAACTATAGCACGCCCGATTCTAAACTAATAGTAATAATTAAATTATTTCTAACGTGGCAGTATTATATCGCTTATAGTTAGAGTCCCGTTATAGTCCTAATAGACTACCTAAACTATTATTACCTGCTTAATAAGCTAAAGCTAAAAGGGCAGCACGTCCGATAGCTAAAAGAACTAGCTCCTTTTAATTTCGAAATTAGGTATAGGCCCGGTACGTTAAACCCCGCTAATAGCCTCTCGCGGAAGCCGTAGTATACCCCCTACGAATAGTTTTTAATCGCTGATTAGACCAGCGCTATAGAGTTGTTCTCTAAGAAGTTTATTCTCCCCGCGATTAGCAAGGGAACCGTATAGGACCCCGATATACCTATAGTATTAACGAGCCCTAATATATCTATAGTATCGACGAACCTAGATATACCTATAGCCCTAACGGACCCTACCCTAGTAGAAGAGGTTATCGAGGTATAAGCCGAAGATTTTTTATATAGCCGGTAGCGGGAGGTCCACGGCGATATAGCTATAAAGGGATATTAGTCTAGAGTTATTAAGGGCGTCCTCCGTTTTAAGGGATAAGTATTTGTGCTAAATTATTCAGGGCTATAAGATAAAATGCTATAAGCTTTCCACGATAGACCTAGTACGGGTTACTACGGGGTCGCGTATACCATAAAACACGTATCGGATTTCTACTTTTAGGACTATCTCCTTAAGACGTTAGAAAATTTATACTTACTTATATAGTATACTAACGAATGAAACCGCGGTATTATAAGCCGTATAATAAGCTAGCGAGTCTTCCTATCCTAGATTATCTTTTCGCAGAGATTTCGATTAACTTAATTATAGGACTACCTCCTATCCACGATAAGGGCAGGAAACGTAA